CGTGGTTTGCATGCTACTGGTGGACCGGGGGTAGTGTTTATATAGTGCCTTGTTGCATGTTTCGAGAAGGTGATTTGGCCGTTGGGTCGAGTTAATGACGGAAAATCACGAAGTATCTCGTGGTATGGCGAAGTGGTCGGTTTCGTTCCTGTAACGAAAGTGACGGAAGGTTGGCTGCAGTTGATTACTTGACCAGAGGTGGTGAGGTGTGTCAGTCGATCCAAGAGTCGTTGGTTGCTTAAATCTACCAGCAGTTGATAGTGCGCTAGGAAGTCTGCACCGATAATTGGTTTGGTGACGTCGGCTATAATGAAATGCCATGGGAAACATCTTCGTAGGCCTAAGTTGAGCGACAGAATAATAGTACCATAGGTCGGTATGTTAGTGCCGTTTGCTGCTTGTAGCGTGAATGTGGATTTCTGACGTGGCCCAGGTATTAGTGACTTGGGATACACGCAGATATCCGCACCGGTGTCGACCAGAAATTTTTGGTAGGTTTCCTGATGACTTCCTGCACGGAGGAATGCATTTCCGTGCCTTGTATTGGAATCTGCTGTGATAGAAACAAAGGTCACTGCTCCTGTAGCTACTGTTGGATCGTCTTTGAGAAGAAATGCCTCTTGAATGAGATCGAGATCATGTCCTCGAACGTCTTGCCATATGTCGTCTTATTTGGTATAGATCCATCTGGAGTGCTTGCACCTTGTTGGTCAGCTGTTGGATGGCATCGTGCTGTGGAGTAGGTGAGGCCGTGGTTGCTATCATGGACTGTGTTTGCGTTGCTTCCATGATATAGTCGGCGATTTCGGCAACTTCATCCAACTGCTTGTCCTTCATGGTTGCTATGACCGTCTGTAGATTTTGCGGAAGCCGACCTGACCAGATTGTGCGTAATAGATTTTCTGGAGTAGAATTTCAAGCCAGGTTTTAAAGGTGACGCAGAAATTGGGATGGTTTTCTGTCACCAATTTCTTCCTGCCCCAGTAATTGTTTGGTCCTTAATTCTTGTGAAGTGCCCAACCGACGAATGAGTGCTGCTTTGATGGTAGCATATGGTTCAGTCGCCGGTGGGTTTATTATAATATCACGCACTTCGGCTGCGTACCGCGGATCCAAATTTCCCAATACATACCCGAATCTTGTCGATTCAGATGTGACTCCTGAGGCTTCAAAGCTTCGTTCCACCATGAAAAACCATAATTCAGGGTCGGATGGCACGAAAGGTGGCAGTTTGACAGCTAGACGGACGATGGAGGAGGCAGGTTGGGTATTTTGTGGGCGTGACATGGTTAAATTTCCACGGTACGGTTGGCCTGGGCGACCTTTTTGTTGATAGCTTACATGCTGCATGCTGAGGAGCAGGGTTGCGCTGCTCCGCAGGGTGACCAAGGTAGTCCTGATGAGGACTGGCCGGTGGAGAATGTGTGACAGCGGCAGGTTATCCTCAACAGGTTGCGGCTGTGGTCACCAATCGTAGTTCATCACTGACCATGCGTTCGTAGTCGGGGTCACCACTGTAGTCACCCTGTGTATAGTCGTAGTAAGAGGTGACTATCAAAGTTGTGGTTCTGAAAAGAACCGATTTATAATATCGTTGGATACATTATCTGTATCATTGATGATTGGCACAAAATCACAGCTTCCAAGGGTTGGCGCTTTATCAGCGTTCTAATAATAGCGAGCCTAATTTATTCGGATATTTACAGAGTATGTATACAAATTTATTTACATGGTTTAAATGGTTTCAGCACTTTACATTTGTGTATGTATTTGCCGTTGACCTAGTTAGTCGCGGTGTGTCGCGACCTAACTAAGTCAGCACAAATGTAGAGGCTTAATTGATACACAACAATAAATGTTTTCTTGCTATACCGAGTGTTCCCACAAAACATTCTAGATCTGCAAATATTACGAACGGTATCTACATATTCCCTATTTTTAAAATCTTTAAATTTTAAATATTTCTCGCTATCATTTGGTAATGTAATTTTAGTTTTGTTTAAATTTTGACAGTCAATCAAATGTCTTTGTAGATTTCCCTCTGCTGTAAAGTTGTTTAAACAACGGTTACATATCCATTTTTTGTTTTTTCTGTTTTTCATTTGCCTATTTTAATAGCCGTGAAAGGTTATTAATTAATGTAAAATGAAATATTCTATTTGACTTAACTAAATTCTTATTTACTTCCTCCCTGAAGCTATAGACCCATCAGCCTGCTCAGTTCGCTGAGCAAACTAGTCGAATCCATCCTTCTCCACCGGCTGTTAGACCACGTGGAGCAAAACAACCTTCTCCCCGACTTTCAACACGGTTTCCGCAGGCAAGCCTTCGACCGAGTCTGGCACGAAGGCCTTATCTCTAAACTCATCGCCCTTAACATCCAACACTTTCTAGTCGGGATAATCAGGTTGTGGGAACACTCGGTATAACAATAAACAATTCAAATATGTAATAATTAAAGTTCATCATTTCTGCCGACTTAGTAAAATCGCGGTACAATGCGACTAACTAGGTCATAGACATTTACACACACATATGTAAACTGCTGAAATAACTATTGCCATTAAACCAATGTAAATAATTTTTGTATAAATAGCGTGTAAATAATTGAATAAATCAGTCTAACACCAGGCTCACTTTCATTTGGATGCTGCAATAGTGTCACCAGTAGATGCTGCAATAGTGTCATAACTAATCATTGATGCAGAAATGTGTCCAACGCTATTATAAAATTGGTTCTTCTCAGAACCACAACTTTTGATAGTCATCTCATACGACTACAAGATCCTTTCTCA